CACAGACACACACTCACATCTACTTGCTTATCACACGCGCATGCTTACACATCGTTGCGAAATGAGCACACATACAAATTATACATAATAAAATATACACAATTCAATTCGAAAAATACATAAATGGACACTTAATCATTAATTACATACCATTCAGTCAGTTGTTGTCCATTTTATCGGCGTCATAAAGTGCCAGATCTCAAACAGACATCCATGATTATGGTTCTCTATTCATTTCTCTACTCGGATGCTCTAAATAAATCCCATGTCTTTTTGTGTTTCCACGTCACCCATCTGTTTACGTTTGGCAAAATAATTTCTCTATCGAGTAACACAATCAATAATATAGTTATCATCGCAATCCTTCTGCCAGGATACTGCAAGTTGACCTTTGCTAACAAGGTGATTGATGTTCTAAAGCAGGGGTACCTGATATGGGGTACAAGAAAACTTGGGGGCGGGGGTTGGGTGGGGTATGAGGGTCAGGGTGTGTCTTAGAGGGCTTTGAGAGGCATTTCTAAAAGTCAAGAATGTGGCATTCCTGTTGTTTCCGTTAACACTTGGTAGACTGGGTTACATAATAAGCTTGCATTTTTGTTTGCTTGTTTGTTGTTGTTGTTGTTGGTGGTGGTTGTGGGGTTGTTGTTGTTTTTTGGGGGGTTAATCATTGTGCCAGAATGAAATCAAAATAATATCAAAACAACCCACCCCCTTACATTACCTAAAATAGTGTTGGTAGTGGCGTAAAACATCATTGTACGTTTGATAATTTATGGATTTTTCTTGTGATTGTCCAGGCGAGCAAGGCACCAACAAGATCCGCCCCCTGGTGGTCCAGTACCAGGACATGATGCAGGCCTTTGAGCAAGCAGACAACGAGCTAGCCAACCTCAAGGACAACCTGGACGGAAAGTCGGTGAGTGGCTGGGTGGTTGGTGGGTGGACGGTTTTCTGGTTGGTCAAAGTTTTACGGCGCTCGCAACTGAATTAGGTCATAATTATGAACGTGCTTGATGCAAGTTGGATATTTTTTAGTTGGTCAAAGTATTACGGCGCTCGCAACTGAATTAGGTCTTAATTATGAACGTGCCGGACACAAGTTGGTTGTTTTCGCAATGGTTCATAGCATGACTATGATTTGCTTCACAAGTCAGAATGGTTGAAGTATCTATATGTGATAATGAACAGTAAAACTCCAATCTCGAATGCAGAAATTTACATTTTTGAAAAAAATACCTTTTACATTTCTCTGTTTAGAACTTTATAAAATTGAGGATTCTGTTATCCATGTGGACTTTTCGCTCTCTTGGTCTCTAACTGTTTCTCTTTCATTCTCTCTATCTCTCACTCCCCCCTCTCTCTCTTTCTATTTCTCAGTCTCTCTATTTCTCAGTCTCTCTATTTCTCAGTCTCTCTAACTCTCTCTTTCTCTCTCTCTCTATCTCCCTCTCTCTATCTCCCT